TCCTACCATTGCTGTGACTGGTATGTCCAGAACATGTGAAACCTGTCTACTGGATCATTTACTTAGGAAATAATTTTAAAAAGTGAGATGCCCTGTTGGCTTTAGAGTCGCGACGAAACGGCAAAAGGCATTCAGTTCGTGGGTACATCTTGTGAGCCATTCCCAATTCTCATCATGATGAAGGTTTAACATTTAGTTTCATGATTTGGAACACCATCAGACCTAGACACTGCTGCCTGCCGCTGACTGTCCCACACACACACTCAGAGTAAAACGTAACAGTGTTATGTATGGTTTCATCGCTTCGTATAGGCCATAATCACCCTCTCTCCATCTCAGTAAGCTCATACTAAATGACCAGACGTCTCTGGTGGCTGCCATGATTTTTCTCTCCGTTACGCATTGTGCCATACCTCACTCCCTCCCTCTCTCCATCCTTTCAACCATATGTTGTGCCCGCGTGACCGGCCAACGTGTCGGGCCTGACTAACGCCTTAACAGCACGGTTGACGTTGATTTATTTCCTCTGAAATCAGGGGGCTGAGGGTAATAACACAGAATGACATTATTTGTTTATCAAATCCATGGCTGTATTTCTTGGCAGAGTAAAGATGTGATGACTTGATACTTGTGTCCCCCTTGCTATACATACATATGAATCCCTCAACTCTCCCTGCAAACTTTTTAATTGTGCCCTTATTAGAAGGCTTTGTCTGTTGTTTAACCTTTTGATCTTGGAAAGTTTGAAGTGAAAAGGAGCAAAGGAAATAGCGAGTGATAGTATGCAATGAAAGGCAGGAATTGATGACTGGACTACGAGTATTTGTGGCCAGGTAAGCAAATGTAGAGTGAATTGCAAAAGCATTCGTGTTGGTAAGAAAAACAGTCAATTTCAGAAAATGTCAATTTAAAGCCACAGACTTAAACATCTTTAATTATATTTAAAGGGAACACTTTAAGCAGTTTTGTAAAGTAGAGCAGTCCCCCCCAATTTTGTAAGAATACTTAAATTGAGTGAAATTGGATGGAGGGCATGCCAGCAGGCATTTTCAATTTTTTTTCAAAGAATCTTGACTGTTTTATGAGACTGTTGTTCTAGTTGTATGTTTAGGGTTTTTGTTGTGTTGGAAGATTGATATCATCCTGAACTCAAATTTTGACACCTTTAATTATCTTTTTATTTTTTTTGTTTTTCCGTTGTTAGTTTGAGCCTGCCACCACCATAGTTCATGGTTGTGCTAATTTGATAAAGGTAATGTGCAGTGTCAGTTTTTTGAGGCTTAAGGTACAGTAAACTGTAAATTGGATTACTCGTGGGTTATTTAACAGCTTCCCTCTTTCCACTATTCCATAAGGTTTTTGAAGGGCATGGCCAATAGTTGTCTTTAGAAGAGATTTTCCCACCTGAGCTGCAGAGCTTTACGTCTCCTCCAATGTTACTATATGGTTACTTTGTTTTAATCTATTACACACATTTCTCAGTAGAATAGAAAGACATTTGTGGCTTGGTATCAAAATATGGAAAAGTCGATGCATCGATGACTGGTGATAAAAACAAAACAAAAAAAAAAACATCATGGAAATTATTTCCTGTCCCCATAAAGCATATATGTTCACATGTTCTGTGTTTCACAAAAAACTAATAAACAAAAAGAAAAAAAAAAAAACTACAGAATAAAAGGGTATCTGTATTTAACAGAATATACTGTAGTATCACCTTGTACAATTTTAATGCAAGAATACTAGATGGACAGAAAACATTGAATTTGCTTGGGAATTTGGAATTCTTGGAAACTTCTGTTATCAGCACTGTGAATGGTATATCCTAGAGCACAATGCTTACGTTGTAGGACCCAATGAAAGAGTAAAAGGACAATCTCAAAGACGGCACTCTAGATAACAAACTGGCCTCTCCCAATAATGAGCAACTTTGGGTTGGCTTTCTTTTCTCTGTGATGTGGGGGAAGATTGGGTGGTGTTGGTGGAGGGAACTGAGATTTTTTGCCAGCTTGTGCCAGTGTCTTTTATGGCTAATTGAGGCATTTGGAGTAAAACTACCTCAAAATTGCACCCTTTAGAATTGGAGCAGGGTTAATATATAGTGATCCCACAATTAGCCCGGGATTGTTAAGATCTCTTTAAATCTGTGAGGTCCATTAAGCCGAGATGGCCGAGAAAGAGGTTCCACAGAGACAATTTTTCTCTCTCCGCTCTTTGTTTGTCCTTTCCTCTCTTCCTCTTAGTAGCTGCTGCTGTGGTGATCAATATAAACAATGTCAGCTTGTTGGCAGGTTATTCTGTCATTTTACAAAGGGTCACACGGTTACAGCTCTTTTTTTTTTTCTTTTTTTTACTGATGCAAAAGAAAGAGATTAGTTATTGGTAGCAGACTCATGTTAGTTTAAAGCGTTGATGATGATACCTTAGCTGGTTTGGAAAAGCTTGTCCTCCTGGCCATAGGTATTAGATCATTTTCTCTCTTGGGTAGAAACTATCACTGTGGTTTGCTCCTTACCCCAGTTTCTCAAATCCCCACTTGGCCCTGCAAGTGCCTCTGCGAGAGGAAAAGCAAGCAGGCTGCCTCCTGATCATCACGACTCAGGCTTTTTACAAGTGTGTCTCTCAGAATATGGAAGTTGCTTCTGAGTTATCTTTCGGGGATACATAGCACCTGTGGGAGACTGCAAATTTGGTGGATGTTTTTCAAACAGGATTGAGCTAAAAAGCAACATTTGAGCAAACCTCACCCAATAAAATCACCCAGCTCCTTTCTGAAGTGTGACATACATACAGAGTCTAGCTTTTAATGGGGCAATTTATTGCTTTATTTTTCTTAGCATGCAGATTTATAGGTTTAAGTGGGATGAAAGAGATGGATAAAACTGCACCCAAGTATGCAGTTGATTGGGTGGTTGATGAGTAACGGCTAAACAGATGGCTGGCACATCAAAGACCCATTTGTGATCACCTAAAATTATACTAAATTTTAATTTCTTGCGCAAGATGTCTTTTTGGACTAAGCTGAGGCCTGAGCTTTATCAGCAGGTAGTAGCAATTTGCTTAGTGCTCAGGTAATGATTTGGGAAGCAGGAGAAACGGTGAGGGCTTCAGTAGCACTATGTTCCAGCACACTGGATTTTAAAGCTTCTTGCAAGTAATTAAGCAGCATGCCAACTCATACAGAGCAATTTCCTGCAAGGCATTAGCTGCCAATGCAGCATGGCTTCAGTACACCGTGTTATCTCTGTGAAATATGTCCTCTCTATCATTTTTTTTATAATAACTGACTATTTATATTGATAGGGAAAAATTGCTCAATGATTTCATGAATAACAACCTTAACTAGTTCAGAGAAAAGTAAAGATGTGTTTCTAATTTAGCGTTCCTTCTTATTTGTTAACCTAACTTTGTTTCAGTGCAGCTTTGCTGGACTCGAATTTTGGGTCCAAGAAGCTGCCTGACTTTTCCCTATGGCATAATGATGGCCACGTCGTCACAAGTGACGATAATCCTGCATAAAGGGATTTGTTCCTCTACGGCTGACAACAGAATGTCCCAGGGCAAAATACTGTTTATCTTTCCACTCTCTTAAAGTTGCCCTTCTGGGCTTTTGGGGCCCAAGAACACTTCTTACACTTGCATTGCCTGTAAACAGGACAGGGCAATGCATGCACTAGAAAACATCCACCCTACTTTCAAACAAGCTGCCCTGTCAGTCTTAATAGTAAACTGCATTTGGACATTTTCTGTTATTTCTGCTATTCCCTCCTTCCACTTGGATGAGAATCGGTATCAGATTCATCATAATCTAATCTGTGAATTAATCATCATACTATAAGGCTGAAATTGATGTTAAACTACATATTTAAATCAGTTGCAGGATTCATTTGCCATTCCTAAGAATTGCTTAGCCAATACCATCCCACTCCAGCCCACCGTGTTGATCCATTACAGGCCAGACATCATTAGGATCTATGAGTACCATTTTTAGATTATTCTAATTTCTCTTCAAGAAAGCAGATTAACTGATTAACAACATTTGTTAGTGATTTTTATGGATTTTTTTTCTAATCATTTCAATTAATATTTGTAGTTGGAGCATTTTTTTAGTAGTCCATGTACAACTGACAAATTATATGTGAAAATTAAAAAGTTTCTATTAGAACCAGATTAAAGTCACACTGTTTTAACCTAGTTTGGTGGTAAATTCACTGTTCAAAAATAAAATGGATTTCTGACTGTAAAAACTGTTAGCAGCTTACTTTTCTGTGCAACTGTATTGGCAACACGTTATGTACTTAATTACTTCTGTCCTTAATTACCAAATTATGTTTTTATAATTTGTTTAGTTATCCATAGTCCAACACCTATCCATGATTGTTCCCTAGATTCCCATTTATAATGATATAATTATTAAAAAAGGCATTTTATCAGTTTTTCTAATCTGACATTTAAAAAAAGTTCTGAAACCAGATCAGAATGCTTTACTTTTTCAGTAAACACTCATGTTTTTCCTTAAAATACATATAATCTGTCAAAGCATTTTAAACATACCCAGTTTGTTTAGCATTAGACTAATGCTTGCCTACATTTTATAGGGGATCCAACCTTTTTAGTTCTAAATAGTAGAGACAACCTTTGCTTATTTTTTTCTTGCTGCATTAAAACTCTCTATACCAGAATGGACCCCCTGTCTTCTTTCTGTCAGTCTCACTAAAGGTTTTCCTCTTGGACATATTATTTTGGTCCAGTAAGCCGTATGCTTAAAATATGAGGACACACTTGAATCACATGTGCACAGGGAGATTTTGTTGCTCTGAATCCTGCCAGAATGAAGCAGCTGTTGCAAAAGATATTAACAGTGAAAGCTTAAGTGCATGCAAACACTGCCATTACCCCACTCTAAAAAATATAAATTCAGCTCCTCTTGTCTAATATGGCCTATATTTCTTGTCTTTCTGTGTTTTTTCCCTGCCTTCTTCATTTCCCCCCTTTCTAAGAAGATAGATGAAGAAAATGAGGCCAACTTACTGGCAGTGCTTACAGAGACCCTGGACAGCATCCCGGTGGACGAGGACGGGCTCCCTTCATTTGAGGCCCTGGCAGATGGGGACGTGACCAATGCAAGTGACCGGAGCTGTGCCTCCTCCCCAGATGCCTCACCTCACACCCCAGAGCCTGAGGAGCCTTCTTTGGTAATGCAACCTTCAGATTGTTTGCAACCTGGGATGTGATTTTTTTCATTATATTTATTTGGAATACCAGGGTTCCTACACAGCTTTGAAATTGTCTGGTTTTGAATTTTATTAAATTCATCTCTAGGTAGGGAAAAGAGTTGAAAACATAGTAAGGAAAAAAAATTTTCAGACAGCTTTATAAATTTCTTTATAACTTTCCATCCATCCATCCATCCATCCATCCATCCCATCCATCCAACCTACCAACCAATCACCCATCCATCCATCCATCCATCCATCCAACCATCCAACCAACCAACCATCCATCCATCCCACCAACCAATCACCCATCCATCCATCCATCCATCCATCCATCCATCCATCCATCCATCCATCCATCCATCCATCCATCCATCCATCCATCCATCCATCCATCCATCCATCCTCAAAGTCTGCTGGTTTCTCTTTGAAAAAAAACAACACAAAAAAACCCAGTGAACCTATGATTTTTCCAGTGAAAAATGACTCAGGGGTTGAAATATTAGTATTTCAGGATCTTTTCACAAGTCTGGACACTAGAAGTGGTAGTTTGTCTGTTAAAGTACTTGCTAAAATTGTAGGTAGTGTGCTCACTGTTCATGTGATAAGTGAAGAGAAAGAGAAGGAAAAAAAAATAGGTTGCTGCTAGGTACTTATTATATAATGATGCTATTGTGATTTTAATTCCATGTATGAGCTCTATGGCTTGGGCCAACAGTGGCTGCCTTACTACAGCCCAGGAGTCAAGCAGGTAGATGATGAAAATAAGTAAAGCAGTAATCAGTCCCATATTGTCATAGCCATCTGTTCAGCAAAACACTTATCTACACTTCTTTAATATGACGACAGAATACATGTCCTGTTTTCTTTCCTGTTTTTAATGGGTTTCAACCAAACAATGTCATTTTATCTTGACTGTTATAGTTCAATTTATTCCATGCTGGTCCTCTTCCAGATGGCCTTTATCTAAATGCTTGGGTGTGTTTATTCAATCACATTAGAGTACCCTGGTTATGTGGACACCAAAACACCTGCATGAGAAGGGAAAAGTACTCTGCAATTGTTATGTCACATACTATAAACTACTTACAAGTATCTGGGCTTTAAATATGCAATAAACATTATCTTTTTTATTTCTTCAGTATAACATCAATCTACTGATTGCACATTTATTGGACCCATGCTGTGTAATTGAAAGGAAAATGGTCTTTTGCATAACCCGCTCTGTCTACCTGTGTCTCTCTCTTTCTACTTCTTTTCCCTCCTTTCTGGTTCCGTTTGGGTCCATTTGCAGCTGAAGAAGCTCCTTCTGGCACCTGCAAACTCCCAGCTCAGCTATAATCAATACACAGGTGGCAAGGCAAAGAACCATGCAGCCAGCAGCAACCACCGGATCAGACCAACACCTGCTGTCGTCAAGGTAGGGACACACAAAGAAATATTTACGAACACACTCACACATGAAATGCAAGTTTTGGCTTGCTGCAGCTTTTCTCTTTTAGACTTGTACACAGCATATTTGTTTCTGTCTCCAATCCTGCTCTCTATGTCTTTTTTCACATAATGTATTTTCTGTTTCGGTGGCCGCCTTAAAAGATGTTAGGCTGCTGGTTTAGCAGCCTGCTATCCCAGGAGAACGGGTTGTAATGAAAACAGGCTGATTGCTGTTGGGCTTTCCAGACGAGGCATCCGCGCTGTTGACTCATTAGCTTCAACACTTTTATGCCGTAGTATAGTAGCTGTAAAAAAAATAGATGAAAAAAATAAAACTACAGGCACTCCTGTAAGACTGATGTATTGAGAACAAAAATTTTTCTATAAAGTTGGGGGAAATGTTTATATTATTTTTAAATTATTAGAGCGTTGTTGAGAATTGTGAAAAAGATGAACCAAGTATTTAAAGTTTTAATTTTCACGTCAGTGTCCAACAATTTAAACACATGGCAGTTAGAAATCTCAAATTTTAGTTCTAATCTGTAAAGCCTGAAGAAAATCCTGCATTAGTTTATACTGTTAGGTAAACAAATTATAAACTGATTTTTGCCTGTTAAGAAGGTACCCCTGTTGTTTTTAGTCTTATTCTCATACCTTGATTTTCTGGAGGAGAGAGGATGAGAACACCTGAGGGACGTGGTGTAAGTGCACAGTGGTGTTATTTTCCATTGGGGGGGGGGGGGCACTAATTAGAATGATTGGCAGAGAACCTTACAATCATCACCTTAGAGACTTCTTGGCCACTGCTGCCTGCTATTTGTTTGATTCACTTGTCACTTGTGTCCATTCTCTTTTCTGCTTTTATATTTTTGCCCAATTGAGCACTAACAATATAGTACAACTTATAATTATTGATAAACCTTGATTTATTCTAGCTACCATTTAGAGGCTAGGACCAAAGCCCCAACTACAACACATTCATTTAGAATTCGATACCAAAGTCCAGTCTTCGAGTTATTGCACTGAAACTTTTATATGATGGGAATTTCACCACTGAGGGGAAAATTCTGTCCCTTCTTTTAAACACCGAAATAAAATGGCTGACTTACCACATATGAATGTCAATCAGCTCTGCAGATGACTGGTAACAAGTCATTAATTTGATTTAGGTGTGCTGGTGAAGGTATGTACCTATAAGTCCCGCAAAAGCTCTCTATATTATTAGACTCCCTCAGATCAAATCACCATAATGTCAATAGTTTTTCCTCAATGACACACTGCAAAAAACTATCTAGAAATAAGTTAAAAATCCTTAAATTAAGTGTATTTACCCTTAATTTGAGTTGGTTAATAAGACGATTAGCCAATAGAGTGTGCATTTTTACTCTTAAAGCTGCAGTCTGTTACATTGAGAAGAGAACAGACTTCGACTGAAAATTTGAAGAAAAACAGGTTTCACGCCACTGCCCCACCCTCTCTGCTTCACTCACGCCTCACCCCTCTCACAGCATCTGCGCGGCTACCGCATGCGACCAGAAGCGTCCAAGCAGCGTACGCGGCAGCTCTTCCATTGACATCTTCTTTTTTGAAGTCTTTGCCGTGTAAGCAGTTGTCGGCAGGGGCAGTAAGGGCAGTTTCTCTTTCGCTGGTGGCTGTCGCTCCGCCATGACTTCCACGCGCGTCCTCCTGACTGCAGCAGCCGGGCGGCAGCGGCAGGTTCAGCGGTGAGAGGGAGGGGGCGGGATTCAGCGTGTGTGAGCTGTGATTGACACTCCATCAGACGCTCCTCTGGCCGTGATTGGTTGTTTTGTCTCGTCCTGAAATATTCTTTCCAGGTTGCAATACAGGCAGTAGGCGGGACCAATTGAAGCAGTTTTTTTCACAGGTTACATATCACATGTACTGCTGTCTGGGCATAGGGACAGTTTTAGCCAATATGACAAAAAAGTGATTTTTTAAAACTTACAGACTTCAGCTTTAAAGTGAGATAATTAGACATTATGCACTTTAAATATGACAATGCCATTTTTTTTTCTTATTTTAAATGTCAATTTTCTTGTCCCATTGGCTATGGTTTATAATAGTCTTTTTGGGTTTTATTATCAGATTCACATTTTTTTAAAACGTACGTGACATGTTTCAATAGTAGAAAAAGCCAGGTATGATTAGTATTTTTTAAATATTTATCAGTTACAAATTATGTGCCTGGTAATAGAAAAAACTAACAAACTTTAATTTAGAATCTGTGGTAAGACTGGGAAAGACATGCCTACAAATGCACTCCATCCAATTAGACTGTACTGACTGTACTATTAGACTGTACTATTTTGTTATAAAAATGGGCCCAAGTCTGACAAGACCAGTATTGCGACATAAGTTGATTGTAGTAATCATTGACTGAGGGATGTGAACACAAATACACGGAATGTGTCTTCCATTATGCAATTATTAGCCTGCTCGTGCTGACCTGTCAAATTTGACCTGAAAAAAAACATAAATGCTTGCTTGTAAATGCCGTCCCAGGCAAATATGAAGTTTTACTGTTGTTGACAATTATTATTATTATTTTTTAACTGGCAGAGAAGTAATGGCATAGTGGTTAGATAGCAGAGTGCTTATGTCAGGGAGAGGCTACAAGATTGCTGGTTCAAAACTCTGATGTAACTCTGGTTCCTTTAGCAGGACCCTTAACCACACAATTCTAGCTGGGCATTCTAGCTCCTCACTGTGCCTTCAGTAGGTAAAAAAAGCAGAATGAACATGTTTAAATTGCAATAAAAACAAATGTGATTTTTATTCTTATGGAGAAAGTTCAAAGGATGTTAACACTTGTTTACAAGGCACTGAAAAATGTGGGTCAACAGTCTATAACAATAACCATGGACAAACTTGGCAACTGTTTTTCTGTCTTTCTATTTTGCTCAGACGGAGAGCACCTGGAATGGCAAAGCAAGAGGGGGCTCTGGCCAACAGAATCGCCCGGTGAGGCGACCTTGCACTGAGCTACTTAAATATTTAACCGCCACTGATGACATCCTGCTCAACACCAAAGCCAGTGATGCCAAGAGCACCTGGGGGGGTCCCAGTAGCAGGGACAAGAGTAGCCCGGGTCTTGGTGCCTCATCCTCGTCCTCATCGCCATCCTCGTCATCCACCTCCTCGTTCTCCTCCCTGTCTTCCACATCTTCGTCCACTTCGTCCACCACCTCCAAGAAGAAGTCAGCTGTGTCATCTCAACAGCAGCTACAACAGCAGCAGTTACTGCAGCAGCATCACCAGCGAGGTGAGAGCCGGGCTGCAGGCCAGTGTATTGTGGCTGGTCATGGGTCTGGGAAGTGGAAGCGTTGCTCTCAGGATGACGGGGTTAAGGATTCGGAAGGTGCCTCTGTCCCCATTGGTCGCAGAACCTACACCTGCGGCCATGCCTGCCCAAAACAGGAGCACGGGCCGCCCAGTGAAGAAGGAAGGCCGCCAGGCAATGTTGGCCGTCTGGCTGCCGCTAGGTTCATTAGGTATATGCATTCTTATTCCCTCCCTCCCCGAGAGGTGAGTCACAGCTGTGAGCATTGCCGAGAGGCTGCAGGCGCCACTCAGGCTAGGCAAGGGTTTGGCAGACAAGGCCGTAGTAGCAATGACGTTGCCAGCAGTGCGCCTCATAGGATCACAGTGACGATTAAGAAAAGAGATGTGAAGCCAGGACACCCTTTACTTAGCCAGCTGCTTACCTCCAAACAGAGGCCGACTCAATTTCTGGCTCAACTCCACCAACTCTCAGTATCCTCTGCAAGTAGTGTTAGAAGCAAAACGGCAGGTAAGAGATCTAGGAGCCCATCCAAGATTTTGTTCAAGGGACAAGAGAGGGAAGTCAAAGATGTCTCTGCTTTTATAAACCAGACTCAGGAATCAGATCCAGGACCTCCATTGTCACCTATTACATTAGACATACACAGCTGGATCAGTCAGCCGGAACCAGGGCTAGATTGGAGCTTTGGACGAGAGCCTGGGTGGCCAAAGCAGGGAGGCTTTGGGGAGGATGTGGACCATGATAATGATGGTGATGGTGTTGTTGTTGATGATGATGATGATAACCATGTCATAGGCAGCCCTGCTGCAGTGCTCTCTCAGGGCCCACCCCTCAGCCCTCTCCTCCCAGATACTAGCATTGCAGAGCCCTCCCCTCCCTGCATCATACAAGGGCAAGGCCCCCCACACAGGCAGGCACTCAGCGAGCACCCCGATGACCAGGGAAACCTGTTGTTAGGTAATCATGACTGCATCCCCCCCTCCTTCCCCTACCTCTGGCCTTACGGTCGCTTGCTTTCTACTCCTTCTGCTGCTTTAACCACTTCCAAGTTTGAATTCACAACTAACCTGTTTTCTAATTTGAGTCTAACAGAAGACATACACACCAATGACCAAAAAACAGCTTGCTCGCTTTTGCTAGTCCCCAAGGCATTTTTAAGAGAGAAAAAAAATGGGAGAAGGGGTGAGCCTTGTCATGCTGCTGTACATTCTATTTTTTGTAAAATTGGTGCAGAATATATACTTTTGAACTCAAATACCTGGGCGCTCCTGTTTTGCATCCTGCCTCTAAAGCTACATTCTCTTAGCGGGAACAAAAGTCGGCCAAAGCCTCGGGCAACTGCACAAGCTTCCTTGACTCTCCTTTCTGTCTTCTATTTTCCCCTGTCCTCTGCTGTTGGTGCATGCAATCATGTCTTTTATTTTTCTTGTCCAGGGATGGGCTCACCCAATGTCATATGTTTTGTTTATAGCATTGTCTTTGTATGTTTTTCTTTTTTGTAATTTTTATTCCATTATGATATGTTTGTGTCGAACCTGGTCTGTTTATGTATAAATGCCATCACTCCATCCTGCCTCACAGAATAAATAGTATATAAATACATATATACATATATATAGATATATAGTACATTCACAGAGTTAATTGTTAAAACGGGGTCAATTTAAAAAGTATAATGTAAGTAGAAACAGAGATGGGTTTTCTTTGGAGTAATAATTGCATTTGTTTCACCAATTTGAGATTAATTGTTGCAGAATATGGACCTTGTCTCTTCTGCCATGATTGTCATACCTAGATCAATAATTACCCATGCTCCTTTGTGTTCTGCAGCCAAACCAACCACCTTGCCACTTCCTTTGACCCCAGAGTCTCCAAAGTAAGTCTGTGAAATTTTTCCACATTATTCTAGGCTAAAAAGCAGAAACAAACTAGAGCACAAAGACAAAGCCAAAAGAAGTTATATAAATTAGAATTCAAGCTGAGGCATTTTTGTGACTCATTTCCATTTCTTAGATCACAAAAGGCTGTAAAGTCTTTCCTTTTTGGTGCTAAATTTTTTTATTTGTTTTGTCTTCCAGTGACCACAAAGGATCACCCTTTGAGAACAAAACCATTGAACGCACATTAAGCGTGGAGATTGCCGGAACCCCAGGTGAGCACCCCTTTCTGTTTACTGAAACTAAATTTGGCTTTGGAATAAGCCAAGAATAGCACTAATTATTGCAATCAGTCTTATAGATAGGTAAGGGTTCATGGCTCTTTTTCTGGCCCTTTGATAGTCCCGACACAGTTTAAAGTTCCAGGTGAAAACCAAAGGAGGTCTTTTTATAGTTACAAGTATTGATTGCCTTTCAAATATTTGCTTGATTTATTACTAAAAATATCTCTTGCTTTTTTTATTTTTATCTCAAGTGTTGATAAGGTCTCACAATCAGATCTGAACATTAGCTCAAACACAGCAGTCCTCTCCTAGAGTGAACTGCAGAACGATCCCCCTATAGCAATTTTAAACATTATCAAATGATAGCCATAAATATAATTAATGAACACCTATTTAATTAGGATTGGTTGGAAAGAAAATGAAACTTAGTTTTGAACTATTTTTTATAGGAAATATGGATGCTTTGGCAAGCAATATTTGGTCACCTTTACACTGACACCTTAAAGTAATATCCAGGGCAATTTAATCTGATCTGGAATTCAACCTTAGTAGCTTATTGTTAGAGAACATTAACGAACACATAGTATAATAAAAAAAAAAAAAAAAAAAAAAATCAAGGACAAGCAGAAAGTCAGATAGAAAGTCTTCAAATTTTTAAATCAAGGTATGAGAACATTCTTATTCTTTCTCTTCAAAAAAAAAAAAAAGGTATGGCACAGCTGCAAACTCACCAAGATGTGATAACGGCCCAAGCATGAAAAGCTTTAATCTCTGAAGATGCAAAGAGGCCAGTGGTAACTTTGGATAAGCTGAAGAGATCAACAGTACGGGTGGGACAGCTGTTAGCTGTACAAGGTTGGAAAGTTTAAAGTCGTTGCTGAAATACAGTCAAAAGAAGTCCTGTTTGAAATTTGCCAGACAAACGATGTGGAGGATACAACAAATATGTGGAAAAAGAATCTGGTCATAAATGGTCTAATGAAAGTCCAGATCTAAATAAAATTAAATACACATAGCATGGCTTGCATATAGATGCTCACAGATGCTCTGCATCCAATCTGACTGAACTTGAGCTATGTATTTTTTCAAGAAGGATAAAAAGCTAAATATTTAAACTCTAGTTTTACAAAACTGTTAAAGACATGCCTCAAAAGCCTTGCAGATGTAAGTAAACAAATGGAGTTTTAACAGGGACTTTTACTGTGTTACCTTTAATGTTTTTTTGTTTGTTTTTTTCAAGTAGCATATCAGAAAATATTGATGGGAACAAAAAAAATATCATAAACTTTCCAGTTATTTGCAAAACTGAAAACACACTTGCTACATAAGTACTGATTTATGTAGCAAGTGCCTCACATCATCCTCACATGACTGATTAGTTGGTTTTGTTGTTGCCATCTCCCCAGTATAATTACACCATTTTCAATCACTTCGGACAGCATGTAACACACCAATACTAGACAATTACAATTACAATTGCAATTACACCCTGCAGAAAAGCAACAGATTTCCGAAAATGTATCTTAGATGTGAGGACCATGCAAGTTTGAAACTTCTACCCCTTTATTTTTACAGCCATGTGTTAAGTCAGCTTCTGTGTAAGTATAATGCTAATAAATGCTTTTAAGAGTGTGGTAGTAAAACTAGATAAGTTTGTTTAAAAAAACTCTGAAAAATTTCAAGGGTTATAAATACTTTTGTAATGCACAGCACCAGGATGACAACTGAAATGGGTATAGAATATATGAAGCAGACTGTTAAAAAGGATGATTAGGGAGTCATTTCCTTTGACTTGGGTTCTTTTATACTTTTAGAGGGCGTTTATGTTTCATTGCTGGCACCATTGTTTGGCATCATTCAGTGTGATAAAAACGGAGTAATGCTGCCAAAATGGGAGTCATTCATTTCTTTATCTGGTTATTAAAACTATTTCAGTAACAGCCTTTCAGTTATTTGAAATTAATTATCCAGGGTCAGTAAAAATAAAAAGGATTGCCCTATAGCCTCTAATACTGGCCCTCTTGAGTATTCATTTACCAGCAGGGGAAGTGATCCTTGTATTTACCTCATGTGAGTCCAGACCTTCTACTTGGAGGGGACAGTAATTTAACCCTCCCCAGAGGTCTATGTTTCTGGCTTGGCTTTAAGTGTTGTTTAACCCTTTTGTGCAGATAAGCTCTCAGGGTCAAATGTGATACCCAGTGAGACCTAAAGGAAGAAAAAGAGCAGCATTCCTTAAGCTCTGGCAGCAATCAGGCTTAGTTAATATTTCCTTTTGTTTTATTGCATGTGGGCAAATCTTTTAAAGTGCAGCCAAATTCCTTGCATGGCCTTGCATTCCACACATCGATGTTTCAAAGCCGCATAAGAAATAAGTCCCTTCACCTGAATTTTCAAGTTTTAGGATAATTTTTGATTGAATATTAGCAAAGAAGTTGATTCGTCTGGAAACCTCAGGGTTACCGAGACCCATTTCATAGAGATTAGTTGGTGCATGGGACAGATGGATGTAGATCCCAGTGAAGCACAAGTGTAAGCTCTTACATGTGCTGCTCAGATTTAGAGTGGCATTCCACCACAATAGAGATAATGGTGGTGTTATAGATAATCAGATGGTTAGAGAAGTGCGTGCTTCCATTTTTACAGCAGGATGACCATGCATTGAGGAAGAATTCAGAGAACTACTATAAAGTTAGTGTAGTTTCTTCAAATAATAGAGTAGTTATCTTTAAATATCAAGTGAAATAAAAACATTTGTCTTCAGCACGTATTCCTGTACAGAAAGTAAGGGGCCCCTTAACCTTAGTTTTCAGTTCTACCCTCAATCAGTATAATACTTTTACACTGTAATGCTGTGTTGTGTTTAATTACTGTGTGACATCACATATTAATTATTTTTGGTTTTTGCAAAGTTTGTATAGGCTCTTTATCTTTGATTTTTACTTTTTTTTTGGCTCACTCATTCCGTAATGTTCTTGCCACTCCCTGCATAATTGGTGTTTGTGTCCCACAGATCATCCATCAATAGCAGGTTTGACTGAGAGGCACATATTTGTCTAACTCTGATTTATTTCTGACATCTTATTGCTAATGGCACCTAGTTTATGATCCCATGCAGAAATTGGTGTGGACAGATGGAGCGTCATTGATAAACCAGAAGTTTTTCAGGCATTCTCTGAGACCCACTCCCTTGTTTCTCCTATAATGCTCTGCAAAAGTATTTGGCATAATTAAACAATTTTTTATATTCGCTGAAAAAGAAATGAATTTTACAAGATGAGAGACACATACTTATGGAAAGGAGGATAAAACAAATGCAAGGTTTTTAAAATACGTATTGTATATTGCACCCCTGTTACACTTATACACTAAAAAAAAAATTTGAGCGGGCAACTGTTTTAGAAGTTGCCCAGATAATTCAAACTATCAACCTGTGTAGATTATTTCCAATATAAATTGAGCTGCTCTATAAGACCTCAGTTTTGGTAGTGAATAAACACCATCATAAGCCAAGGAGCAAGACAGACAGGTAATGAATACAGCTTTGGAGAAGTTGTTCGTGTATACTGTTGTTTCATACTGGTCTGAGCTATTTTTGCAAGAAAGAATGGGCAAGATTAGTAGATATTGTATACATGTATAATGCAGTCTCTCTAAGAAATACATTTACAAGGGGGGCATTGGAGGACATGGGTGCTTGCAGTCTTCAATCATGACATAGACATTGAGGGTGTTGATAGCTCCTTGGCTCATAAATCCCAAACACGCTCTGTTACTTTAGAAACACTCAGTTTTTTCTGTAGCTCTTACCTTCTCTTCACCAAGACATACAGTATGACTGGTGCATATTCTAACACTGGATTTGATACTAATAGCTGTCATTCGATAGAAATTCACTAGCAGGGTAGGAATGATGTGTAAAATAGGAATAACAAACAAGGAGAGGTAGAGAGAGTGTAGGTGTTTCAAAGTGTCTGAGTTTGACTCCAGTGAGAGACTGTTAGTGACAAGTGCGCCAGTGTGTGTGGGCACATTTGTTCTCCGTGAGCCAGAAACAGGGGAAGATGAAGAATGACAGAGAAGGGTGGGAAATGGAGATTGATCTAGCGGAAGATGGCAGACACAGGGAAGACGAAAAAGACTGAACTAGGGAGTGAGGGGGACTGAAAAAGGAGGTGGGAATGAGTGGAATGAAAGTAATGGCAGTGTCTGTTTGTGCGAACGCAGTAACAAAGCTATAAAGTGGGCTCATCTCAGGACTTCTCATATAGCTGCCATCTGTTTGGTTGTAAATCTGTAGGAGGAAAAGGGGAGTGATGGGGGAATGTTGGTTATGAGCACTAGAAAAGAATGTCAACCCAACCATCATTTCTTCTATTGCCGTGGCGGCATAGTATCTTGCCATTTGTAGATCTCAAAAAATGCCAAAATGTGCATTAAAGAATGAGACATTCAGTGTCCTCCGAACTGTGTTGAAGGAGGATAATCTTAAAACATATAACGTAATTCAACTAAGCTTATAGGACGTATTGTATGTTATACTTATATTCATTTTCCATTAGATGCATGACATTTATCTGGGGCAAGAATGTTTTGTGTTTTTGTGTTTTTTTTTATGAAAATCTTAGTTCAAGGTTGGAGACAAAAAGAAGGGCAAGACATCCTTATTAAGTTACACCGAGCATTACATTAATCTGTCAAGACTGCAATAAAATAGGATTAGACCAAGTGAAAGTGAATATTTTAATCAGACTTGTATCTGTGCCCACTGTCCATAAATTGACCTGTGAGTTTATAGATGAGTGATAGAGGAAAAGACATGGGGGGGCATTCTTGGTAACTGGGGAGGATTATAATATGATTTGCATGTCATTATGCCCACCCAACCACTCTGTCTTTCTTTCGTACCCCTTCAGGTTTGACACCACCTACCACGCCTCCACACAAAGCCAGTCAAGAGAATCCTTTCAAAGCATCACTGAAAACCAAGTTGTCCTCATGTTGCTCCTCGGCCTTGACGTGCAAAAGAGCCAGGCTGAGTGAGTTGGGTGCCGGAGCTTCGGCCCTGGCCCCAGGTGCCTCAGCCGGGGGCCCCGCCAAGAAGGGTCCTGAACAGACTGAGCTCTATGCGCAGCTGAGCAAAGCATCCACCGCCCTTCCTTACACCATTGCTCAATGTGCAGTGGGGGGCGAAGTTGAGGGACACTTCAGCACTGGGAACAATAAGAAGGCCGCTGGGCAAGATGGCCACAGTGACCATGACTATTGCCATGTACTGGCAGCCAGTAAGAAGGATGGGGGCACAGCAACTGTTTCCATGGCTACATCTATGGAAATGACATTCACCCCAGGTGCCATCTCCACTGGCAAGGAGGGGAACAGGCACACAGAATGTATGGACTTAGCCATGTCAACATCTTTTCTACCATCTTCAGGTTCTACACCATCAATCTCAATTTGTGATTTGACTAAAGAGCAGAATTTTGTCCAACTGGATGGAAACACTTGCTCTGTAAGGGACATAGGGGAGCATACCCATCCTCAAATCACTCAGATGCTCACACAGGGGGCCACTGTTGTTAGGGACCAATTGCCACCTTCTGCCACCAGCCGGAAGCCCCTGTGTGACCAGGAAATCAGAGCAGAACTCAACAAGCACTTTGGCCCTCCCCTACAAGCTCTCTTTACTCAGGGTGAGCAGGAGAGAATTGAAAGCAGTAAACCAAACAAGCCTACAACCCCCCAATCCCCTGAGGGGGGTGAAATTGACTTTTACTCCCAGAGGCTGTCAGGATCCAGCTACCTGCACCCAGGGTCACTGTCCTTTCATGATGAGCTCGAGCTGGACGAGGATCGTGATAATCGCTTTGTCTTTCCATGGGAGGGTACCCATCTGGACTTTCTATTTGACTGCCCTCCCCGTTCTCCCTCTTGTTCTCCACCATCCACATGCTCCCCTTCACGAGGTTCAATCTCCCCAACATCTTCCCTTCTCCTGTCACCTGGCCGATCGTTCTGCTGGAATGGCAGTGGGTCCCGTTCCCGCTCTCGGTCCCACTCTGGCTCCCGCAGTTCCTCATCACGATATCGCAGGCGCTCTCTGTCCAGCTCACCAGACAGGCACCCCTCCTCTTGGTATGTTGTCTTTTAGTTTATGTTGGTATAGTTTTTAAAAGGAAAAATCATACTTAGGAATATTGTGACAATAACTCGTGGAAGGAAGTACACAGATTTATAAATGATAGACTGCATCCACAATTGTGACAGTGCAGTGCCAGATTTTGTGCAAAGAAATTGAAAGCTGTACTGGTTGATTATTTTTGTAACTCTGGCTTATTGATGTCTCTTGACCAAATTGTAAGTCATGTCGATTATGGCTTCTGTTTTTAATGTTTACATAATATTGTTGTGCATTGTATTTTATTTAAAGGTTTTAGAGAACACAATAATGGTTCATATTAATGAGTACATAAAGCCAAAATAGTATTTGCACCAACAGAGTCTGATGCTGTGGTTGGATTGTGGACTTATTAAAATCTATTAAGCATTCAATACAGATATTGATTTTGGATTAGTATCTCCACTATTTTCTTATTAATATCTTAGGGTTTTAGCAACCAGTGATGGAAGTTTTGTGGTGGCTTAGTATTGAATAAATTCTACAGCTCCTCAGCTTTGCTATGGAACAAAGTTTGTACCGGCAGTTTGTTATTTGATTTCATGAGATAAAGAAATCTGGAGTCAAGAAAGCTATAGATGGTCCAAGAGGTCTCTGATATTCAGATGTCCTTTAATGGTAAAAAAAAGAAAATAAGTCCATACACACTAACACATTTATTATACTCGCTCCTCAGATTTCCTGTTTGGGGGTTTGTGATGGCAGGGATCCAGTTTAGCAGCTTAACAGTCAGCAATCCAGAGTACTGTAAGGCCAGATAGACCTTAAAGTCTCTTTAATGGGATTTTTTAAGGTTACTTGTTTCTATGAATATGTATGGCATTAGGAAAACATTAGTCTTAGACCTTTTTTGAAACTTTGCTCCTTCTTAGAAAAATAAAACTTGCTTTTATTCCCTTAGCCTCTCCTAATGTGTCAATTGTTGCCCCCTCCTGTGTTTATCCTTAAACTGATCCTAACCATCTTGTCTACTTGTGTCACACTAACCAAAGTAACCCCTTATAGCAGGCTTCTCTTAGATCGAATCTGACAATGTGGGTAAAAAAGAACCCTCTCAAAGGTACAGTCACTAATGCAGGATGAACAAAGATGAATGAAATAGAATAACATGAAAGGTGCTCTGGACTTGATTTTTCATCTCTAGGCAGGGAGTTTTATTTGATTGTCTCTCTCCTACACTCCCTTCTTACCACTGACTCCCCTGCTCCCATTTTTCATGAATTTATTTATATATTTTTCTCTTTACTGTCTGATGCCAGGTCTATTGTCTTAAGAGGCAGCTGTTGTTTTTACTGAGGATCAGAAACCTTCCCTCTTTTGCATCTCTGGAGATAAAAGCCAAATCCAGTCTGGGGGAATAAAGTCTCAAAACCCTCTCTCAGAAGAGAGCCCTATCATCATAACCCGCTTTAAAAACTACATTACCCATGTCTCTCTTTCATCCATGCCAAGGGAGTTTTTCTTTTTTTTTTCTCTTCTTGGTTAACAAAACAGAGGCAGAAAGTTGTGACAGAGAATGTTATGAATAAATTGAGTTTGTCAGTGGCGCTTCATTGAGTAGCTCCTAGTGTCGAACTCTACTGCAGTGACTCACTTTGTTTGCATGATTACTAAAAGGTCAGCTTACTCCACTGAGCCACTAGATTCACTTTATCTTTTTAAGGCCTTTGCTTTTCATACTACATCAACTTGCTTGTAAATTATACTGTAATAGCCTCAAGGCATTTGATCAAAATCTGGCACAAAAAGAGTTGGAGTATATGAAAAAAAAGTAAGGTAACAGAGGGAAACTGTTGCTCTTGCATTAATGTTTATTCGCTTTAGTGTGTCCTGATGATTTATTGAGAGCCCTAGTTAAAGGCTCATGATAATCTTTGTTTCTTTTTTTTTTGCTGTAGCAAATAACTGCAGTTCCCCAAAGAATATTATCTAGTTATCGCTTTGTCTCATTTTTCTAAACGGTAGTTAATTTTAACCGTTTAGATATATATCAAACTGAAAACTGTAGTTTATGCCTTGACATTCAAAGAAGTTTTTAAAGCAGGGTAACAACTTTTACTGTAAGTTCTGAAACCACAGACAATATGTCATTGGCTGAATTATCGACAAAGCTTATCAAATCTAGAGGGAGGCAGCTGACATTTTTGCAAAGCAATCCCTAAAAAAAAGACCCGTACCCATGAAAATTACCTTGTTTTTTGTTTTGTTCAGACAGTAGTTCAGAATGTAAATGAACGTTGTGAAAGTCTTAGCTGGATTCTAGTTAAACCATTGCATTAAAACATAGCAGCTTTCTAAAACCCATCAAAAGCAGAGAAAACTGTCCTGAAACACTATGAAGAACAAATAGTGTTGACTATAAATAAAAAACTCCTTCATAAAAAGGTTTGTAAGACTATATTTTTAATTCTGATAGAAAAAAAAATGTTGTTTTTAGTTCTGAAATGTTTTAATTAGCAAGTGCTATTTATTTTAAGCTTGCTCTTTAAAAACCCATTTTTAAAATTAATTTTAATAACTTTGGGTTATTTTTCTACTACATTATTGAAGCTGTATTTATCGATCACATAATAATAACTTCTTTGATTAAGGATAGTTAAAAAAAAAACCATAGAACAGAATTTGAGGTGAAAAGAAAAGAGAATAAGATGAATTTCATGTGCCACTACTGGCTTCAGGAATACTACCATAAAAGATTACTGTGTTTTTATTTTATACCATTTTTAGCACTAACACTGGGAGGGGGAAAAAGTAGAGGGTGCTGTAGCTTGTTTTAACTAACCTGCTCTCTAAAGAAGCATACCTTTGCTTCCTAAACTTCTCCTTTTCTATTATTTAGTTGTTCCTCCTTCAGGAACATTTCAATAATTGAGCACCAGAAGCTCAAGGAGAGAAGGTGGAAAAAACTCCACAGTCAGGCTACAATGGTCTAAACTATTGACCACATCTTCATACAACATAGATAGCAGGCCCATGTCTTTGCCAGATCAGGTGTGTTAAAAAAAAAAGAAATCAGCAATAAATGATGAACATTTACTGTTGTTATGACTTACATGAAAGCTAGGTGGTATAAAAATAGAGTTGAAAGAAAATGTAATATTCTGAAGATGGCATATTAAATCAAACCAGGTGCCAATGAAGACAGCAGATTTTATTTTAATCGAAAGTAATGTATTTGGATAGAGAGTAATGTCTTAACACTTTGCTTTCCCTTCAGGTCTCATCATACCTCCGATCTCAATGCTTTCCGCTCCAGAATCCATAAGAGCCCCAACCCTCAGTCTCGATCTCTGCTCAGCCGCAGGCCAAGGTAATTATTTTATGTGAATTATTTAGCCCTCTTGTTTAATATACATTTTTAACCTTAGCTCAGTTGTATGCCTCGGGTAAGGGAAAATGTTTAATGTGTGCAGGAAAATTGCTGGGATTTATGATGGTATGAGAAAAAATTCAACAGGAGAGTTTAATAATTATTTTGTTATTTGCATTTAGTGTGCACATACTTTACAAACACAACTAGAATAATCAAAAAAGTGTAATGACAGCATCAAAACATTGAGGTGCCTAATTTAGCAGGACAAAGAAGATGATCAAAGCTGATGGGATAATTCTTAGAGTTAAATGTACAGCAATCCTGGCAGAAAAGTTGTTAGAGACAGAAGTCGTTAGAGACAGCCCAGGGAGGATCACTTTCCTGGAGGACAATGACCTTAAATATACAACCAGAGGTACAGTAAAATTGTTCAGATTAAAGATTATTAGAGTTTTAAAGGGATATATAACGATCCAGTCAAAGTCCAGATCTATATCTAATTAGAAATTTATGATAGGACTTAAAAATCAGCTAATGAACATTCATCCTCCCAGCTCTTTGCTGATATGTCTCCTAATAAATGCATTTGTAGTTTTCTAAGAATCACAGCAGAAGGGTAGGATTTCATATGCTGAGAAGTACTGGCATAAACTGACCCAATCTCAGAACCCAATCTGAACTGATTTGGCAATGAGATCCCAATAACACTTGACAAGTATAATAGTTATCAGTGGAAAACTTAGCAAACATGTCTTGTAGAAGCCTAGGTTGTTTGGATGACAGTAGCGCTTTCCCTTATGATGAAGCCCTAACTAAGCAGAAAGTAATGACATGTGAAGATGTGCTGACAGCGGCAGATGCTTGCGTCCCCAACTGTGCTGCTCGCCCGGCGTTCCCGCGGGCCCATCCTGTGGAGGCTTCGGCTTCTCTGTGGCAGTAAAAAGACATCTTAATGATTGTCCATCTCCTTCACCTTGCAACAAACTTCTCTGGAAATGCCAGATGTGTCCTTGGCAGATACTGGCGATTGTACCTCATGAGTACGGCAGACACGCTGTTGTTTATGTGGTGGGGAATAAGGGGGAGGAGTTATATAAGTCAGACACATCTTCTCTCTCCTGTACAGATATGACAGTTATGAAGAATACCAGCATGAGAGACTTAAGAGGGAGGAATACCGCCTGGATTACGAGAAGCGGGAGTTTGAAAGGGCCGAGCAGAGGGAGAAACAAAAGCAAAAAGCAGTGGTGAGTAAATATACACATATCAAGTTACATTCCCTGTTTTTTTTAAGCTTTATTCGACTTCATCTTCCTGGAACAACACTGATAAAAGAGCACATAATCAGTACAGTGGCACAGCCCACAGAAACCTCCCACAGACACACATTACTGAGATGAGACACCCTCCAGCCCTCTGCTACGTGCCAGAGCATCTTACTACTGAAGAGAATACATACAAACTAAATTTCTGAATGATTCAGGCGACAGGCCCTTCCTCTTTATCTCTGGATTGCATGTTTTTAACAGTTCTGTTGTCTGGAAACACTGTCCACTCCTATTAATCACACCACGGGGTACAATGTGGAAATAGCACCAAGAACAGGAAGGAAGCAAAATGTTCATAGGTTTTTTGGGGGGGATTTTTTTCTCTTTTTGTATCTATTACACAATTCATCACATTTCACTAAACATTGCATTTCCCCCTCATCTAACCCCCTCTCCTTGTCTCAGGGGGAATTATTCAGCTTTCAGGAAGGCTGACAAAGCTACCACCCATTGATAAAACACACATTAAAATGATACAGTAATGCGAGCTCAGGCTCAGCATGCTTGGAGTCTTTTTTAGAGATGGAGAGACAAATAGTAATGAACAGTCCAGCTCCAACTGTCAAAGACAGTTTGTACAAAAGTAGATAAAAAAGCACCCTATCGAGTCTCTGTCATGTTCAGTCTACTTTACCCTCTACATACACATATATATATATATATATATATATATATATACACACACACACACACAGTACAGAGTAGACGTTTGGACACACCTTCTCATTCAAAGAGTTTTCTTTATTTTCATGACTATGAAAATTGTAGATTCACACTGAAGGCATCAAAACTATGAATTAACACGTGGAATTATGTACTTAACTAAATAGTGTGGAAGAACTGAAAATATAGCTTATATTCCAGACCTGAACCCAGGTCCGGTGATGGTGATTGTGGAGGCCAGGTCATCTGGCGCAGCACCCTATCACTTTCCTTCTTGGTCAAATAGCCATATAAATATATGTATGTATATTTATATATGAAATATATTATATATATATATATGATATAGACTTAGTTTGGAATTGTGTTCCCAAAGAATGGGCCCTAACCAGAGCAGAAAAAAAAGAAAAACATTGTAAAACCCCAAGAAACAAGACACTTTCTCAAAATTAGCTCCAAAACACTGAATAGGATTTAGGTTACATGGTTGGTTAAATATATATACTCTCCAAGGACGAAATCTGCACTATACTGAGGCAGACCAGAAAGACATCAGAGATTACTGTCATCAAAGGGGTTTGAAGGAGATGCTGTTGACAAGGACATCTGCAGCAATTGCCATGGACAGCACTATGAAACCATGGCGCAAAACACATACAAAAACAATTTGAAATGGCAGTTTACATTTATAAGCTTTCACAAAACCTAAATTATTTAAACAGTACTAGAGAAAATACAAACGTTTGGGCAAAATCCAAACTTTGAAGGGATTGCCTCGCAAATTTAACAACAGGCAGTTTGCGTTGGACTTTCTACAAGCAACCTTTACAACAAAGACAAATAACGTAAACGTTCCCTGGGCCATAATATCAATCCAGTGTGAATAGTAAGTTGACAATAACACAGGCCTATCTCATTAGATGAAACAAAATCCATCTGCTGGTCTGTCTTTGTAAAGTGAGTAATGGTAGCATCATATAGTTTGTCCTTTGACTAGAATTCCATAAGAAGCCCTTTCTCTATGGACATCAGTGCCAGTAATGTACCTGACGTGAGTCTTTATGTGCTTCTGGGCACCTTAAAAGGCCTCTCCACTTGTTAAATTTTTTTCTTTTAAATCTAATTCTGGAGTTGGTCATCCGATTTGTATGATTTGCTGCTTTTCTTGACATGCGTTTGATGTTAAAATTCGCTCACAGTGTTTTAAACTGCAAGAGGCTTAAGAATGTCCTAAGTAATTGCAATAAACGATAATACTGAGATGCTTTAGGTTTAGAAATTATTTTATTTGAACATGAAATTAAAACTAATCAATGGCGATAACTGCTGCCTGTTGCAGGTTTTTCCAAATTACTTCAGCTTGACCTCTATGTAAGCTCTGAAATTAAGGGATATCCTTTGCATCAATCTATTGCTGCATTTCACTTGTGTATAAAATGTTTTCAAAAGGATCAAAGCCTTTTAGTGTGAAAAATAGAATTTCTGTATCTTGCAACTAACGCTGGCTTTTCTGATTTATGATTCAGTCACCCTGTGGCTTTATTTTTAGACTTACAAAAAGAGGAACCAAGCCAAAAAACTTAAGACGCGGCATCATTTGATAAAAATCATTCTGCCTCGGGTTGATGAGTTGCAGAGAGAAAAGAGGAATTGTGGTGTCAAGGTAGATTGAAGGCGCTTCCGAACTGCTACTCCCATCAGATAAGGAAGCAAACAGACAGATGGAGAGGGGGAATGAAAACAGGGGCCCAGAGTCAGCAGCAGTATCCACAGGAGTGATCAAGACCAATTCATTTAAGTCCGGTGAAGAAAGAGAAGGGGAAATGAAAAAAACAGTTCCCCTCCCCCAGCACCACCACCATCTTTTAATCTCTTTGCGCCGTCTCTGTCTTGCTGTTTTAACGAGCAGGAGGAAAGACGGGTGGTGTATGTGGGGCGACTGAGGTCCGACTGCAGCCGCTCAGAGCTGAAGCGCCGCTTTGAAGTCTTTGGGGAAATTGAAGAATGTGCAGTGAACCTAAGGGACGATGGGTAAGGCTCTAGGATTTTTACAGCATTACAGTGCATTTTAACTGTAGTCTGGCATTGGTTTCGGCTAATTTGGTGACATTTATTTAAGAGTTCCTAACTAAATTAATTGCTCAGTGGCATTGCCAAACTTAATTGCAACGGACAATGACAAAGCTTTGCAATACATGGTTTCTCCTGACTCATCTTTGTACTGAAGAAACACCTGTATTGATTCGCTTTTGCATATAAATAGCATGATTTTTATCTAAAACATAACCCTCTGTCGAATCACTGCTATCCTATGGGAACATCTGACCCCTTTTTCTATTTTTTGATCAGGGACAATTTTGGCTTCATCATGTACCGTTACACCTGTGACGCCTTTGCCGCCCTTGAGAATGGACACACCCTCCGTAGATCAAATGAGCCTCAGTTTGAGTTGTGTTTCGATGGACAAAGGCAGCTCAGTAAATCACAATACACAGACTTGGGTGAGTTCCTCTTTTTAAAGGTTTTCCACAACCAGCTATGCAACATGTTTGTCTAGAAGGCTGTCATTAAGATAACACATAAATAATGGGGGGAAGTGGTAAAGTAGAATTAAGTGATGCTTCCATTTCCATCCATAGCCCTTTTCATTCAGTTTAGTACGTCCCACAAGGCCTCAAGGCCAAATCAGCCTGGGAAAATGCAGAGAATGAAGCTCAGTCCCCCCCCCCTCGTATCTGTGGTATTTTTAGCAAAAGGAACGATATCTCATCACTCACTCGGACATAGGAGAGATGCTTTTGCTTTTTTCAAAGTTAGAGAGCAAACACAGCACCTAAAAGCATTGGCAGCTTAATGCACTGATAGATGCACAAACGTAGGAATCCCTTTAGGAGTTTTGAGGAGGAAAATTAAGTGGAAAATATTAAAGAAAAAGAAAGACTAGCAAAGAGCTGAGGTAAGATGGATGGATGTGAGGAAGGTATCAGCAGTTTTTAAGTCCATCTGCTGTCAATACAGCACGGACGATGTTCATTTACCCAGTCGCCCTAGCAGCAAGATACTTATGCCTACATATACCCTACCACCTTTACAGGCTGTGTGGGTCTCATGGCATATTGCCGGATATCAATATTCATGTAATTCCTTCAGGTAAACATACACAAACACTCATACACAGGTGTAACTAGAAGGAATATAGCATACAGTTGACTCATGCATTTGATAACATTTGATTTTTTTCCCCATTTACGTGTCCTACTTTTGACACATGCAAAAAGTCATGTACCTCTTTCTCCTCTGATGGTTCTCCAGTGGCTAAAGATGGGCCTGCTTCTGTTGAAACCAGAAATGTTTTTAGGAGTTGTATAAAAGATTCCTTTGGTTTCAGGTTAAATCAAAGGAAATGTGCCATGTTTTAGCATCATTTGGATGACTGGCAATATACATTGTTTTTCTAAATGTCAAAAAACGAGCGAGATAACTTTTTTTTTTATTCAGAAGTTTTAGAGCTGTCTTTTAACCTGGTCTGCGACCAAGCTTCTAGTTAGCTAAATGCTTTTCCAGTTTCTCCAGAAATGGAATAACTGTGTGAGGATTTGGGGGATTCCCAGCTCTTGCATATCTTTATAGGCCCACAAACTTTCTGAGACTCAGTTTATGTCTTTCTGATATTTAAAGACCTGATTTGGTGATATGAATAAGTCTTTGTCTAATTAGAACACTACAGGTGCTGGTCATAAAATTAGAATATCATGAAAAAGTTGATTGATTTCAGTAATTCCATTTAAAAAGTGAAACTTGTATATTATATTCATACATTACATACAAACTCATATATTTCAGATGTTTATTTTGTTTAATTTTGATGATTACAAATGACAACAAATGAAAATCTCAAATTCATCATATCAGAAAATTAGAATATTACTGAAGACCAATAAAAACAAAGGATTTATAGAAATGTTGGCCAACTGAAAAGTATGAACATGAAAAGTATGAGCATGTACAGCACTCAGTATTTAGTTGGGCCTCCTTTGGCCTGTATTACTGCAGCAATGCGGCGTGGCATGGAGTCGATCAGTCTGTGGCACTGCTCAGGTGTTATGATAGCCCAGGTTGCTCTAATAGTGGCTTTTAGCTCTTCTGAATTGTTGGGTCTGGTGTATTGCATCTTCTTCTTCACAATACCCCATAGATTTTCTATGGGGTTAAGGTCAGGAGAGTTTGCTGGCCAATTAAGAACAGGGATACCATGGTCCTTCAACCAGGTACTGGTAGCTTTGGCACTGTGTGCAGGTGCCAAGTCCTGTTGGAAAATGAAATCTGCATCTCCAAAAAGTTGGTCAGCTGCAGGAAGCATGAAGTGCTCTAAAACTTCCTGGTATGTGGCTGCGTTGACCCTGGACCTCAGAAAACACAATGGACCAACACCAGCAGATGACATGGCACCCCAAACCATCACTGACTGTGGAAACTTTACACTGGACTTCAAGCAACATGGATGAAGTGCCTCTCTTCTTTTCCTCCAGACTCTGGGACCTTGATTTCCAAAGGAAATGCAAAATTTACTTTCATCAGAGAACATGACTTTGGACCACTCACCAGCAGTCCAGTCCTGTTTCTCTTTAGCCCAGGCAAGACGCTTCTGACGCTGTCTGTGGTTCAAGAGTGGCTTGACACAAGGAATGCGACAGCAGAAACCCATGTCTTTCATACGTCTGTGTGTTGTGGTTCTTGAAGCACTCACTCCAGCTGCAGTCCACTCTTTGTGAATCTCCCCCACATTTTTGAATGGGTTTTGTTTCACAATCCTCTCCAGGGTGCGGTTATCTCTCTTGCTTGTACACTTTTTTCGACCACATCTTTTCCTTCCCTTCGCCTCTCTATTAATGTGCTTGGACACTGAGCTCTGTGAACAGCCAGCCTCTTTAGCGATGACCTTTTGTGTCTTGCCCTCCTTGTGCAAGGTGTCGATGGTCGTCTTTTGGACAACTGTCAAGTCAGCAGTCTTCCCCATGATTGTGTAGCCTATAGAACTAGACTGAAAGACCATTTAAAGGCTTTTGCAGGTGGTTTGAGTTAATTAGCTGATTAGAGTGTGGCACCAGGGGCCATCAATTTTGAACCTTTTCACAATATTCTAATTTTCTGATATGATGAATTTGAGATTTTCATTTGTTGTCATTTGTAATCATCAAAATTAAACAAAATAAACATCTGAAATATATGAGTTTGTATGTAATGTATGAATATAATATACAAGTTTCACTTTTTAAATGGAATTACTGAAATCAATCTACTTTTTCATGATATTCTAATTTTATGACCAGCACCTGTATTTCCTACACCCCCACCTTAACTATTTGGCTAATGTCTTGAGATTCTGGCCGTTTCTCAATATGTGTACTTGTGGATCTCATGTGCTTGTGTTCCAATTCACAAGAACACAAGACTGAGAACAGAAAAAAAACACCGGATGTTGTTCTTGCCCCTCCCTCTTTACCAAGTATGCATCAGAGCAGACATGTCTGTTCTTGATTGACAGCTGTCCCATAATGCACCAGCAGCAACAGCTTCCAGTGGCATGCTCACAGAGCATAGAGTATTAATTGAAAAGTTCTCTTTTCTTTTATTAAAAGAAAAAAATTTTAAAAGTACGTTTTAAGACATTTAAGGCGAGAACATTATACTTTAAGCGCCACTATATGGTCCATTTACTGATTTAGTGGTAATAAAAAAAAAAGTTCCAATGTTGAGAGTACCGCAGCAACCACTGGACCTCCGAGGCTAACAGCAGCCAGGGCTAATTTTAGTCCGTCTGCAGCGTCCCTCTCTCGGCATAGCCGTCTGTGAAGTACCACTGGCTCTAATGTCGATTTTTTGTTTTGTGTTTATCTGACTGTGTTCATTATTATTCCCCCACTAAGTGAAAAAAGGAAGAATTTATGATTATCTAGAGACTATTAATAACAGGAGGTAAAATGCAGCTCCAGAGGAGCCGAGCGTGTGGTGAGGTCACCAGTACACTTCTGTTCCAATTGACCCATATTTATACTGCATGCTCCCGTTCTCCCAGAGTCCACACTTTCCTGTGTTCTTCTCAAGAACATACTTGGCGAGGACACGAGTCCATGCTTGTGTTCTTGTGAATTGAGGAACGGCCTCTGTCTCAGTATTTTGCAACGTTTACCTGTCCTTCTTGCACCAAACACATATTAAAATGCAACATCCAATATTTCGCCTTCTGATGATATCGGGCTTGCAAGCCTCCTACTGTTTTTTTTTTATGTAATGATTGTCAGTGCAGCAAAACACTTCTATTTTAGTTTTATTAGACCACGAGACATATCTATAAAGATTACAGTTGTTTGAACAGGTTATCGGCTAAATGTAATATGAGTTTTTATGTTGTATTCAAACTGATGGCTTCTTCCACTCCAAGTAGCCTTTCAGACCATGCGGGCAAAGGATTTATTTGACTGTGGATAATGACTTCAGACAGGATCTTGAGCTTTTCTGCTTTAGTTCAGATGTTGGTACACACTTTCACACTTAAAACAAGATAACATTAGTTCTCTGGGACATAAAAGGTTTCCCCTATTGGATGTGAAACATTGCCTTGCTGTTTATACTTTGTTTGAATTAAGCAAAGAGAGAAATTGGATGACTTTAGAACTTCTGGCATTGCAACAAAGAATAAGGAAAATATATCGAGGTCCACAGTCTTCTCTCAGATATTTCAGTTTATTTCTTTAGAAATTTACCCACAATGTCACTCAAAGAAGAAGTACTATTCAATTGTTTCCTTAGGGTGCATTGTCACTACTGTTTGGTTTTAAGATCATTCCTGGCATTGGTGAAAGTGCAAAGATTAAAAATTTTCATTGGCCCGGAGCAAGCGCAGAAAAGGAGCTAAATGTAATCACAGAGCTGTGCAAGAGCTCAGCTGGCTGAGCAGTTTGGCAGAGTTAAATGTGCACCAGAAAGATATTAAATGACCATATGTGAGATTTAAACGCTTCAGACCAGTCTGACTGCGTTCTCAGATTGGTAACTGTGCTCTGAAGTTGGTGGTGCAAACAGCATGGCTTATTATAGCAAACAGCATGTCTTCCCATAACTGCATATCGTCCCTTAATCTTTTACTGGTACACAGTACTGGACCATTTAAGTTTACTTTGAGTACTGATTGTTACCTATCTAACACAAGAAAGGTTTAGTCCTTTTTTAATGTGAGACAATAATACAATTTTCTTTCTCTCTACACAGTGAAGAAAATGTTTCTTTAAACCTTATGTGAAACATTACTATTTTACGTTTTCACACTGTAGCAAAAGGCCATCCTTCCATTTGACGATGAAATCTAAGATAAGGATCGACATTTTCGGATGACAGTAACTCTCAGAAATCTCAATCACCACAATATAAGTCCATGGGTCAAAAGACAGAAACAGGGCATTTTCCTAAATGAATGCTGCAATTCCAAAGCTTTTCCAGCCATTAGGCTTTTTTTGTAAAGAGAATCTGACAAAAATAAACAGCTGTTTATCCCAAAGCCTTGAGGACAGATATTGTGTCAAAATTTCAATCTGTTGAAATAGAATGGTCTCCATTCAACTACCTCGGTGTCAAGAGTAGACTGTTTTACATAGCACATGTTAAAAAGATTGAGCGGCATTTTATATTACTGGGGTACCAAAGCTTCTCCCCATTAATTCTTTTTTTTTTTTTTGTCTTTGTGACAGTGTCCATTAGTTTTGAGGAGCACGCTAGGATATTTTTCACCCCTCAAGGTGTGCGGCGAGACACAATTCAGCCCTCGGCCAATGCATTAGATCAAGTCTGGCGTCTCGTAGCTGCCACGGTCGTTCCCATTTCTCAAAGCTCGTGGAGTGTGCTGCTGGGCCCTGTAGGGGCCCCATTTGTGAAGCTGTCTGTTGGGTCAGATAAGATACCCTTTATATATTATCAGGTCGATCAAGAAAAACAGTACATACAGGAGACTATTTTGATACTGTTCCTCTGTCCAAGTTTCAGGCTTTGCTCTAGATATTCAAAATGTGTACCATCATTGCATGTACTTATAAATGAGCCAGCTGTAACAAAAAACTGAACGTAAAACAAAAACAATGTATTTGCTACCTGAGGCTTTGTTATCTCACTTTTCCTAGCTTCTTTAATTTTTTTTGTCCATTGGTCTTTTTGATTGCTTTTAAGAAATATTTTACATTCCTTAATCCAATTTTACTTTTGACTTAGGTTTTTCGGAAAAAGGGTAAAAAAAAAATCCATCAAAGACTAGACAGACCAGAGAGATCTCTCTTCATTTCCTTTATAATAGATGGTAGGACAGGTTTTTATGTAAGAAATATTTTAGAATCACCTTGTTGGGACTTCTACAATTAAACCTAATCCAGCCTAAACCCACCCTAAAAAAATGACAATTTAACCCCAGATAAGCCCTTGATGTCTAGCATTTATGTTGAAAATAGTAAAAATCCACACTTAAGAGCACACATGCTAATTTAGTAAACTTTATAGCATGTTGGAAACACATTTTAGTGTTTGAAACTATAACTATGTGTTACTCATTGACATCCGTTTTACTTTTTTACTGCAGCTGATCTGCGGCCAGACAGAGTATATAGTATGTTGATGATTAACCCGCAATTTAATAAAGTTTTCTTTTAACTCTTTATGATTTTGTGGAAGTTAAGCCTCACTGCAATGGACAAATAAGATTGTAGTTTAACATTGCAAGACCTTTTTTAGACAAAGACTCTGGAGGTCAGTTGTTAGTTTCAGTGTCCTGCCTGACATTAACCTCAACCTTTGTACTCTCCCTCCTCCTTTCCAGACTCCCATTCGGATGACTTTGATCCAACTTCCACGAAGAGCAAATATGACTCCATGGATTTTGACAGCCTGCTAAGAGAGGCCCAGCGCAGCCTGAGAAGGTAACCAGCTCCGGGGCGCCCGATGTCTGTGTCACAAAGAGGAACTTCTTATACCTCAACGTCGTTTCTCGCCTCATCAGCGATGAGACCACCAGAAGTTTTATGCTCTGTCAAAGAGCTCCTGAGAAGAATTCTATAGACCTATATGAAAAAAAAATGAATATATTAAGAATAAAAGTTTACATGAACATAGCTGCTCAAGAGCTGGGAAGAAACATTTCATCCTGGGAATGCCAGTCAACTCTCAAACTTGGATGCACTCTACTGCTGTAAAACCAGTTAAAAGAAGAAGGAAAGACTTTTTGATTTCCTTTTTTCCAAGCACTAAAATACCTACATTTTTTTTAAAGTGAAAAACAAGCAGTTCTTTCAGTCAGATCTGTTTCCTTTGCTCCTGATTTTCTTTTGACTCTTTTAAGTCTGGTATTTTGTATCTGGTGTTACATTACAAACAGGAAAGTGAGACAAGTGAGTTTTGAAGGTAAAATTCAAAAAGTAACATTGTGGTCTACATTTTAAAGGAGTAATGTAGCTGTGTATTTACAAATGCTATTAAAAAAGGACTATTTTTATTTTATGTACATATCAGAGTTCTTTATTTGTTACAGCTATGCACTGTAAAACGCAGCCTTTTTTTTTTTTAAAAGAGAAAATTTCTTAATTCAGAATGTTGATCTGTAGTAATTACAATACTGTTAAACATATTGTACACCTACATGATGTTTAGAAGACATGATATGATTGTAAAAAAAAAAAAAAAAAAGAAAAAAGTAAAAAAAGACATGTCCAATTGCTCATTTTGTGAGAGCATGTGAACAAATGTTCCTTTTTTTAGTTATTTTGTTTTGGTGGGGGAAAAACTGCGAAACCATGTATAGTTTTTTGTGTTTATAAAGTTTGTCAATCAGTGTTTTTGCCTAAGCAACCAGTCTAAAATACATTTTTAAGGTGTTTTTCATGATTGTTCCACATTTTTAACCATCACCCATCATTACATAATATATTTGTTCTTTTTCTGGGGTTTAAAAGGTGATTACCCTTGATAGAGTAAACAGCCAATCAGCACAGATATATTTATGTATTTATTTTAATATTTGAATCAAAGTATATTTATGGACTCCATTTTAAAATGGTGTACCTTATTTTTTTTTTTCCTATTTATGTCTCATGTTAACTGATTTTTGTTATTTAACTTGCAATCACTAGACAGGGTGTACAGTAAATAACGCTTTGGTGGGGATGTTATTACCTTCTATGCCTTCCGAAACAATCAAGCTCATCAGTCCAGCCCCTCATTCTTTTTTCAGGATTGACTTTGTTTGGTTCACTTGTTTTTAATAAGTTACAGATGACATGAAGCAATAAAATGATTTTATAGAAATTTTGTTGCGAAAACTTAAATATTGCCATCATCACTCCGCTCATGCTTGATTATGTGAATGCCAAACTAAAGTTTACAATTTTCCTTTTCCTGAATTTTATAAAGATCTTGTATTTGATGTAAAACATGTATATCACTGATATTATTCACACTAATAAAAAATGACAATAGTGGCGATTATGATCAAAATTAAAGAAAAAAATCTGTAAAAAAAAAAGCAATAAATTATTTTTCAGAGTTGTATTTTAGCTCCTAATGTCGTGCGATTTTTAGGACTTTGACCCATTACCCAGTCGCTGGAGTAGTTAATACTCATCCACTACCCCTCCTCTTCAAGATGTAGCTGAGTCTCTGTGATTGTGACATACACATTTCCTTGTGACATCTGTGCAAACGTGACTGACTCTTTAACTCCACCCCGTGTGTGTAAAAACATGCCCAGTCAAAGCTGATTGTTGTATGTTGCATGGCTATTTGAGGACAGCGGCTGGTTTAAAGCCTAAAATGTATTTAAATACATTCTTTTCAGCTGTCTGAACTGGCACAGTTTTTAAATTTGTCGTTCCAAAAGCCAAAAGAAACTCTCTTTAACATGCTGCTACCGCACCAACTCAACCCTCCCCTCCCCTCCCTTGTCCAAGTCCAGAAATCACAGCGCCGTCAACGTGACATGAAAGGTAACCTTGCGGTTTCTGGTTCAATTAATATCCTGTTTTTAGCAAGAGCCAAGTAATGAGAAAACCAACTATAAAAGCTTAGCTGATCACAGGCTCCCTTTCATGGAGTTTGACTCTGAGACAAGAAACAGTTAATTTTAATGATGCAAAAAGGCAAAAATTGGTTGAAGGATGTAAAAAAAAAATCCCTTTACCTTTTTTATGATAATGCTTAGCTTTTTTCTTTTTGCTGTATGTATAGCGTTTGGGTAATGGTGTCGTGTCCCACTTCATAGATGTGGCTTTAATCATTGTAATAAAAAAGTAAAAATGCTTTGTAAATTGCTTAGAGTAGCAATATATTACAACACCTCCAAGTTCAAATTACAACTTTGGTGGGCTTTTTTTTTTAATGAAAGGAGCCGTTGAGTTTCTTGCCACTGCTTAAACATTTGTTTTGTAATCATGTTTCTTTTGGAAGGACGATAATGTTCATTGGTAAGTGTGTAAGTGTCTAAAAGTGTGATTGGAGGGATGTATGTGTGTTTTTTTGTGTGTGTTTTCTGAAAAGGGGTTAGGGGTTGTCGCTACCTGTTTGTGTCCTATTCACGTTGCCTTCTGCCAAGTCCTTACCAATGCCTTTGTGGTTCTACCTACTGTACGACTTTCTTGTGACTTTTATTTTATATGTGCAATTCTCATCAGCCTCACCATGCCAATAAAGGGAAAATGTGTTTGAAAAACTGTCTATCCATGAGCGTGTTGGCTGTCATTTATTCTGTGCATGTCTTATTGTCCTTGTTCTTTTGATTTTAAGAACCATTTTGATTCAGTCTTGTTTGTTTTCTTCTTGAGGGGGATGGGTACATTGAAGCCTATGACATTAACTAAATTTAAACATTTCCAGATAATATATTTTTTTAACTCACTTTTGGATGTTGTGTTGAAATAATATGGAAAAAAACACACACACAAAACAGGCAATATAATTGATGTTATTGTAATGTGTGCCTAAATAACTTTAAGAAGCCAAAAAGCCAAAAAATCAGATGAGTTGATGCGTTGGAGAGTGATGCCTAGTGTTTGGTGCCAAGAGCTTGGAATTCGGAGGTTCTGGGTTCGAGCCCCACTCCCACAAACTGCCACTCTAGGTCTCTGAGAAAGACCATTAACCACACACTGCTCCCCGGGCGCCCAATGATGGCAGCCCACTGCTCCCCAAGGGGATGGGTTAAATGCAGAGGTAAATGTATCCAATGTGAGAACAATAAAGTTCAGTTATTATTATTTATTAAGGTTAAAAATCAATCCAAGCGAAACTTGCTTGGAAACTCTTTCTGTGCCATCCTTCCCTGTGCCTGATCCTTTTGAGTTTTTTAGTTTGTTTTAGACAAATGTTCTAGAAGACTAAGAAGGAATTTTAGCCATCTTTTCCTTGCATTACCTTTTTATTTGCAGCATGATGTAGGAATCTTAGCTATAAATAGCCTGCTTAAAATCAAGGCTCAGCTTTTCAGTTGGATCTAGACTGTGTGGATTCCCATTACAGTAGCTGAAATCTCTCGCAATCAGCTACCGGTAGTCTTCCTGAGGTCCAATTCTAAAACGCGACACATTGTTTTATATACATTTTATCACAAAACTAGAGACTGATTTCAAAACCGTAACAAAAAAAAGTCAACCAAGCCACACATAACATGTAAGAGAATACAGCAATATTATCTTGGTAGTTGTAAAATTCCAAAAATACCACAAATTCATAATAATAACACAAGATTGTTTTGAGACGGTGTACAATTCTTTCCATAACATTATTATTTTTCTAAAATCATTCATTTAAAGGCACAACGTTTAATTTTTGGCCATTAGGGGTGCTAGACCTGTAACTGCCTGTATTTTGCTTCTACTGCATTGTCAATGAAATTCAAACTCACTCTGGATGTTACTGGAGAAATACCTTATATAATAATAGAATATTATAATATATGTATATATATATATATACACCCTAAAGCGATTTAAGATCATAAGGATGTTTTTTTTTTTTTTTTTTATAAACATAAGGCTGCCCTTTACTATTATGTGATTGATCTTTACCATGTAATTTTCAGACTAGAATACTTCCATAAAATAACAAAAAAAAGGGTGATTTTCTTGATAAGAGACTCCCTAAATGAGTTTCAGTGGTCTTTTTGGCTAATTTCCCACACCTGGAAATGATGACTATTCTGCAATCTTTTGCAAATAACGGCTCTTGTTGAAAGATCCTTGAAACCCCAATGCTTGAGAGTCTGTTCTGAAATGACATGAGATTAGGAATGTTTTGTTGCTTTTCAAGATCTTATTTCCAATTTCATTAGGTGGGCTTTTGTTAAATGACTTCTTGATTCAACATGTAAGTACATGAGTTATCCAGCCTGTTCGGCTAGTTAAATAATTAATCCACAAAAACTGCCCCCCACACCCCACCCCTACTGAACGTCCTCCTCTCCCCATCTAAGGAATTAAAGTTGAATTCATAGTTTAACTAGTTTGGCAAATACTTCCTCACAGATTTTAAAATCCATTTTTTTAACAAAAAAATGGTCATCTACATCCCTACTCTCATCTGTGCTCATGAGTTTTGAGTCATGACCAAAAGAACGAGATCTCGATACATGCGCCGAAATGATTTTTCTCCGTAGAGTGTCGGGGCTCTCCCTTAGAGACACTCTGACAAATTAACAAACAGTTAACAAATTAACTCTAAACATCTGCAAAAGATTCCTGAGGCCTTTAAAACTCCCAGCCTGGTTCATCACCCCAATCATAGGTAAGCCTGCCAGAAGGCCATCATTGACACCCTCAAGCAAGAGGGTATGACACAGAAAGATATTTCTGAATGAATAGGCTATTCCCAGAGTGCTGTATCAAGGCACCTCAGTGGGAAGTCTGTGGGAAGGAAAAAGTGTGGCAGAAAACGCTGCACAAGGAGAAGAGGTGACCAGACCCTGGGGAAGATTGTGGAGAAGGGTCGATTCCAGACCTTGAGGGACCTGCAGAAGCAGTGGACTGATTCTGGAGTAGAAACATCCAGAGCCACTGTATACAGGCATATGCAGGAAATGGGCTACAGGTGCCGATTTTCCCCAGGTCAAGCCATTTTTGAACCAGAAACAGCTGCAGAGGAGCCTGACCTGGGCTACAGAGAAGCAGCACAGGACTGGTACTCAGTGGTCCAAAGTACTTTTTTGGATGAGAGCAAATTTTTCATGTCATTTGGAAATCAAGGTCCCAGGGTCTGAAGGAAGACTGGGAAGAAGGAAATGCCAAAATGCCAGAAGTCCAGTGTCAAATACCCACAGTTAGTTATGGTCTGGGGTGCCATGTCAGCTGCTGGGGTTGGTCCACTGTGTTATTAAGGGTGGGGTCAATGCAGCTAGCTATCAGGAGATTTTGGAGCACTTTATGTTTCCATCTGCTGAAAAGCTTTATGAAGATTTTTCAGCACAACCTGGCACCAGCTCACAGTGCCAAAACCACTGGTAAATGGTTTACTGACCATGTATTACTGTGCTCAATTGGCCTGCCAACTCTCCTGACCTGAACCCCATAGAGAATCTGTGAGATATTCTGAAGAGAAAGTTGAGAAACGCAAGAACCAAAACTCTGGATGAGCTAAAGGCCGCTATCGAAGCCTCCATAACACCTCAGCAGAGCCACAGGCTGATTGCTTCCACGCCACCCCCGCATTGAAGCAGTCATTTCTGCAAAGGGATTCCCAACCAAGTATTGAGTGCATAACTGTACATAATTATTTGAAGGTTGACTTTTTTTGTTATTAAGAACACTTTTCTTTTATTGGCCGGATGAAATATGCTAATTTTGTGAGATAGGAATTTTGGGTTTTCTTGAGCTGTATGCCAAAATCATCTGTAGCCTATTAAGACAATAAAAGACCTGAAATATTTCTGTTAGTGTGCAACGAATCTAAAATATACGAATGTTCAACTCTTATCATTACATCATGGAAAATAATGAACTTTATCACAATATGCTAATATTTTGAGAAGGACCTGCAGATTATTTTATTGAATGCAAATTTCAGAAGCTGAGATTATTTTCTGCAAATGTGAATTTATAATAAATGTATGGGCCTTTTACCCTGGGGTCCTTGTGACTTAAAAAATGAAGCTTTGAAAACAAGGAATAATCAATCAATAGCAATTTCAACAAACGCTAAATATCTTTTCTTAAAAATAAATTTCTGTTTTGAAATTAACCAAAGATACACTCATCTCTTCAAGTAATAAACCTGCAGTTAGGTCTTTTTGACTGGTCTCCATATCATGACTATGCAAGTTAATTAAAAATACTAGGGAGAAATATATTCATTACCACGGTGAATAGAGCTTTTGAAACTTTGTGATTTGCTTAGCCGCATTATGACCATAACAGCTCTTACCATACACAGACATTTCAGACTGGAAGCTTGGATCGCATGTGGAGCTTTCACTGTGTCCTTTTTCTACAGGTGCAAAGCAAAATATGGGAAGAGCAAGCATTAAACTTTAAGGTTGGGGGTCTGATTGTGTTTTTTATTAAGGTGACTGTTTAGCCCCAGAGAAGAGAGTGGCTGGCTTTCATTTCGGCTCAGCTGCCACATTACAGCGGGAGGTCTCACTCTGCTTGCCCTTTCCACAAAATAAAACTATCTCTGTGCTCCCAGTCGGCCTTTTTTTCCCCTCTCCTTCCATCATGATAGGGAAGCTCCCTTTATCTGTTGTGTGTCTTTGTTGTTATTAACCAGTAGATAAGCAGCTATCCCTTCTCCAGTTGGAAGTGAACAGTAGTTTTGGAGATGATAAGGGTTGATGGGGCTGGGCTCTCTGTGGGAAAGACTGTGAGATGTTACTATTGAGTATGCATCTCTATTTTATTTGTTACATAGCCACAGTAGCCCCAGTGGTCTATGTTGAAAACCAGAAATTGGAATCACTAATGCTGTCTTTAAATAGCCTGGGCTTTGGTGGCTAAGCAGTCTAGAGTTACTTTAAAGCAACTGCTGACAAAGTTGTGTCTGTTTTCATTTGCATATCCTTTGTTTATATACTGTTGTCATTTTAATCTTCCTATTTTTGATTGTTTTGCAAGCATACAAGCCACTTAACCTGGGCCTGAATTTGAACATTTTTGGTCACCAGCCTATGTGGCATGTGAATATCAAAATCCACCTGTCACAGAGTTTTTTTACCACCCAAATTTTTGTTTCTAAAATAAAGGTGAGTGACTCAGATTATGCTTTAAGGTGGTCCTTGTATGTGCACAGAACACACATAAATGTGATTTTGAATTATTGACCAACTTAATCTTGTTTACGACCAGACCTACAGTGTAACCATTATATTTAACCTGGTATGACAAACATCTAAAATAGAGAACGGCAGAAATATAAACAGCCATTTCATCTCACTGATGGTCTTGTTTCTTTAGTTAATACCTAGCTCCAAATATAATTAACTGTAAGACTTTATTACTGTTTGCATCCAGGTTCACCTCTTTTTTGTATTTTTTTTATGTATTTTCATTTTCAAGACAAGTCTAATGTTTTGATTGAATGGCTTTTACATAAAAAACAACAATAACAACCATAACAGCAATAACCTAATTGACAGAACGCAAACAAAATTTCCAGTTGAGTAACCATCATCTTAAAAGTGAGGGGGACACATTTTTGAATGATTCATCTCTCTCGCATTCAATTTCAC